AGAGATGCTTTCCTAAACCCTTCATCACCTAATTCAGAGTTCAGAGCCAGGATGCTATTCATGTAGGTTCTCTGTGATTTATGTGGGATATGCCGCCTTCTTCACTAAAGTGCTACATAACATATACATTTCAATATCCACACAATCTTGGTGGTCCTGTGTGACAATCCCAGGGCAGGGAAATACAAATGTCAGTCATTATAGTGCTGATTCTATCTAGACAAGAACACGCTTCAGCAGGATGCTGCAGTTACCACATGGAAGCCTAGACACTATGTGTGGTTCCCTCCCACCCTGGCTCACAGTGGAACCTGCCCAGTCCCAGAACCCTGCCTACACTCTTCAAATGAGGCTTAAGCTAGAACCACCAAGTAGTTCAATGTGTCCTCTGTGAGATTCAAGCCAAGTGCAAATCACCCTGAGGATCCAGCCTTGTCTCCCAACCTCAGTATCATCTGTGAAACATCAGATCAGATGCCTAGCATTTAGAAAGAAAAGTGTGATGTTGCTTCTTATAGCTACATGAAATATCACGTGAACCTCAGGTATGGTGAAAGAAAGTGTTGTTGTCCCTTCTATGGCATCCTAGAGCTGTATTGTGAGAGCTTCCAGATTTTGAAGTATAGGATCACTGAGGTGCCGGAAAGTTCAGTTACACTGTATGCGCCAGGAGTGGAACTTGAATTAGATCCTCTCATCGAAAAACAATTTACTAGTGAAAAAGCTGTGTTCTGGGCTGGAGAGATGGCTCAGAGGTTAAGAGAACTAGCTGTTCTTCTAGAGGTCCCGAGTTCAATTTCCAGCAACTACACAGTGGCTCACAACCATCTATAATGAGATCTGATGCCCTCTTCTGGGCATAAAGACATACACACAGGCTGAACACTATATACATAACACATAAATAAATCTAAGAAAGAAAGATGAAAAGAAGGAAGGATGGAAGGAAGGAAGGAAGGAAGGAAAGAAAGAAAGAAAGAAAGAAAGAAAGAAAGAAAGAAAGAAAGAAAGAAAGAAAGAAAGAAAGAAAGAAAGAAAGAAAGACAAACCTGTGTTCTTCCAATAAAATTGGTCTCAAATGCATGGCCAGAATTACATCCTGAAAAAGAAAGGCATTTGTGTAGAGGGTCAACATAGGTGCCTAACCTGAGAAAGTGCCATGAGGTAAGAAGGATGTTATTACTAATTTCTTGGTGTCCTTTAAACTCAAAGAACTGGAGATTTCTAGCCAGTACAGTTTCAAATGTCAAGGGCTCAAGTCTGATAAACAAGCAGGATTCACCAACAATGGCTAACCAAGGCAACCATCTTCCAAGGAGGACCAGCTTATCTGACAAGGCGAGCATCCTCCAAGGATGACGAACATCCTCCTTGACAAGGACAAACATCTTATTTTATCGGACAAATGTCCTTATTTTCATACAGAAATTGAAAGTGGGCGACAATATCCTGAATGTGACTGTTTCAGGAAATGTCCTACCCATTTATGGTAGTCCCGGGGCAAAGGATATGCTGCTTCAATGGAAGCCATTTCCCCTGCAGTCACTCGGTGACATTGTCTCATGGTGCTGGCTGCAGCAGTTGACAGACAGCCCTTCAATAATGCATTGTTTAAGCTAAATGGGTTTTGAAAGCCCTATTAAACCCCTGACAATTTTTAATTGATGGTTAAACGGAGATGGGGAGGCACCAAGAAATGATGATGATGCAGAGAAAATAAGGCAGATCGCAGGAAGATGCCCTCTTGTTTCCAGAGCTGTCTATAATCTGGGTGTAAATAGGACCATTCAGAAGGGACTTGTTGCTTTTCCCCATAGAGAAGAAAATGGAAGCTGTAGCCAAAGAGCAGCACCTGAATCATGACAGTCAATGATGCCTTTGGTGCCAGCTTCCACAAGCAAGTCCAGATGCTTTCAACTGAGGAGACACTCACTATCACAACGAGCTCATTCGGAATACCCCGAACACCATTTTCATCTTTTTTTCCCCTCCTTTTTCTGTGTGTATTTAGATTAAGTGGTGAATATAAGAACTGTAGAGTGTGTGTGTGTGTGTGTGTGTGTGTGTGTGTGTGTGTGTGTATGTGTGTGTGACATATGAGTATGTGCATGTACATGCCTGTGTGTGCATGCACATATGTGTAGAGGTACATATGTGAAGGCCAGAGGTCTATACCATGTTTCTTCTTCTATCAGTGTCCACCTGAGATTTTAAGATAGAGTATCTTAAGGAACCTGGAACTCACTGATTTGTCTGACCAGCTGTACCCCAGCATCTTGCCCTCTCTGCCTCCCTAGCACTGGGAATTACAGGCATACCACTACAGTGCCCAACTTTTTACCTGGGTCTTAGGGTCCGGAACTCGGGTCCTTGTCCTTGTACAGCAAGCAATTTACTGAAGGAGCCATCTCCCCAGCTCTGCTTTCAGCGTTTCCGGTGTTTTATTTTATGATTTCCCATCATAATATAAACAGCATGGGTGCAGCTCAGCCTTTTGTTGATGGTTTAGCACATCATACAGAGAAATGTATTCAGCAGGCTTCTCTCACGTTCATTTCTCTTTCTGAGATTTCATTCACCCAAGGTCAAGCTCGGTCTGAAACTGCTAAATGGAAACTTTGGGAAACAATTCATCAATTTAAACTGCCAATGCCAATCTTAGTGGCATGGTAAAATCTCACACTGTCCTGCTCTGTCCTACCCCAGATAGGAGCCATCCCTTTATCCAGCATAGCCAACATTAGCCACCTCAGTTATCACATTGTTTGTCATGGTGTCACAGTGCTTGCACACATATAACCATGTTTGTTTGTTTGTTTTTATAAGGGTCCCAACGGACAAGAGTTATGATGTAGAGGAGGCCTTCAGGCACACCGTGTGGAAGAACAGATTAACTCTGGGGCTTGTGGTTGCTCTTTGGACCATAGTTCACACACCGTTAGGTACTGTCTGTAGTAAGGCATCCACTGGGAATACTGGACCATGGCACTCCTGGAAAAGGCAGGAATGTACTCACCTAGGGCCAAGGGAGGAGAGGACGGTCATTTGTTCTTGCTACAAATGTTTCTGGATACAGCATGTGAGAGCTGTTTGCTCGTATTTTATAGCTAATCATCTACTAGCCCATCACCTTTATGCTCTGTAGTCCTGGGGTGTGTTTGTTCTGCTGAGCTCACAGAGCGGCTGGTCGAAATGGCAGAGATGTGTTCACTACTGAATGTCTACTCTGTTATTTATTTTTCTCAAGATCCTTTAGGCTGTCCTCAAACATGAATTCTTGTCAGGCAACAAACAGGAATTGCAATGTATCACCATTTGCTAACAAAACCACACAGCTGCCACTCTGCGGTTAGACATCACCACCTGTTGATGACAGCAGGTATGAGTGTGGGTGGGCCTTTGTCATTCTTGTCCTCCTGCCTCTTGTAGCCAGTCCACCCAGATTTCCTGGGGGTACTCCCAGCAATCTGTGTCTCTCCTTCATAGACTCCAAGTTGTGACCTGGCGCATCAGGTTTTGCTTTAGAGCCATGTCTCTGACTAAATAAACTCTTAGTCCCAGGAGGGCAAGAAAGACAGTCTCAATTTCACACTGTCACCACAAGCTGAGGATGCCAAGAATGGCCCTATCTGTGCTTAGTTAATGTCTGTCGGATGAGTAAGCGACAGGAGTCCCCAGGTTTAGCTCCATTTCCCAGGCCAGTAGTTAATCCATGCCCTGCTCCAGGTTTTGCCCCCTGATGCTGCTCCCAAGCTGTGGTCCAGAGTTACTCTGGTTACTCAATGGACTCCAGCACATTGAGATGCTTCTATTTTTATTGTGTTCTTTTCTTCTTCCCCTGCTAAAGAACACCCTGGGGGAGCCATGCATGATAAATTAAACAGTGACCCACTATCCAACTACCAGAGTAAGCTGCCAACCCCACTTACAGACCTGGTTTGGATTTCTGTTCCAGGGATCTTCTGAAACCTTGACAAATCACAGGGCATGCTCAGGTTCCCCTCCCCCAAATATGTCTGTAGCCTGACTCCCTGACTGCAGCATAGGTTGTACCCAGAAGCCTCACCAACACAGAGTTGCCGAGTTTCACTCCTAGAGCTTCTGTTCAGCATGTTTGGAGTAAAAGCTCTGAATTGGCATGCTTATCATATTTCCAGGTGATGTAGGCAGATGTTTCTGGTCCAGGTACAGGATTTTAAGACTCAACACTCATTTGATCCCAGGGGTTCCATATTGAGATCCACCCTGTCTCCACCAAGTTCATATTTCCTGTTATAGAGCATTTAAATGTCAATCCTCTACTCTCAAGTACTTCCTGGTATCAGCTTGCACTTCTGCAAGCTAAAGGAAGTCTTTTTAAACCTACTGGATCTCACTCATCAGCCTGAATGTGCTCTTTATTTTATTTCTTAAGAATCGATGGCTTAGTCAGGCATGGAAAACCCCAGCCCACACATGAATGTAGCTTAGTGGCCTCCGAGGTGGAATCCTGCTTCCTATGAACCCTGCAGCTGAGAAATCATTGCCCAGCAGCATTTGGCACCATGCCAGGCAGCCAACTTTTTTTCAAGAAATCCCTTCTGGTCAATTAAAGAGTCTGTAACCATAACATGCAGGGTTTCCAAGAGCCTGGTTGTTAGATACAGCCTGAGGAGGGATCCAACAGTGTGGCTGGGCCTTTAGAATACTGAAAAGGCTGATTGTGATACAAGTGGCCCAGGGTGTGAGGCCATCAGCATACTCGAATAAAATCTTTTTCTCCAGTTTGTCTAGGGCTTCCAAGACCACATCTTCCTACACTTTAAGTAACATGAATCCTGCTGAATGGTGCTCACGAGAGGTGGTAACCGCACACTGCCAGCATCAGGCATCCCCAACACGACATAAGGAAGACAGAGGTTGCTTCCCCAAACTCAAGGCTAGTTGCCAAGCCTTCAAGTTTGCTGGGTTGGCTTAGCATGCTCCCTCTAGGGTTAAGGAGTGAGGCAGCCTGTGCTGGCATGCGCACTGGTCATGAGGCCTGCAGTTTCACCTACTACAGTGAGCAGCTGCTGGAGGCAGCGTGGGAGACAGTAGCAGAGGCTGCCTGCAGGGACAGGGCAGCAAAGCAGAAGGGAGGCGCCAACGCAGTCCACTGAAGGAGCCTAAAAGGGAGCCCCAGGAGAAGGGGACATCATCTGTGTGCTACGAACTGCAACAGTGATTGCACAGAAGTCACCAAGAAAGACCAGTTCCCTGGCTCCCTAGAGAAGGACTTTGAGCATGGGCCAGGCCCCGGGGACATCAAAGCAGAAGATACAATCTAGGCATGGTTGACTTCGCCCATTTCTCACACAGGCCTGGCGCTAGATACAAGGTAAGTGAGGTTCCCTTCCCTGACTCTCAGGAGTCAGGAAGCATTAACTTTAAATTGAGTTCAGAGTAATACGTACTAGACTAAATATTTTGTTTGTTAGCACTGGACTACTAGAGCTAGCAGTATAGCTGGATCCAGACTGATGGACTGAGGATATATACAGGTCCCAGGAAAGAGAACTCTTGCAGGATCAAGTGGACAGGAGTCCCATTCCTTGGGAACAGTGGTGTGTGGAGTCTAGCTCCTGCATGCCAGGCATATTTAGCCATTGTAATGTTTTCTTTCCTAGATTAAGGGCAGGAATGTTTCCTGTGATAATCAAATCTCACACTCATTATGCATTTTCCTATATGCTGGGAAAGTTCAACCCACATCTCTAACTTTATTCCCAGCAACATCGTGTGGGTCCACCATTCATTTTGCAGTCCAGGATCTATGGCACAGATTTTTCAGTTATTTGTACAAGTTACAGATGGATCATCTGGATTGCAGGACCAGTTTTCATTCTCTGCAGCAAGAGTTTGTCAGCCAGGGTGATTTAGTCACCATGAGGCCATTTTGGTGATGTCTAAAGATCTTTGGTGATGTGTTCCTGGCATTCTGTGGGTGTGGTTTGAATGAGAATATCCCCTATAGGCTTAGATATATGAGCACTTGGTTCCCTGTTGGTAGCGCTATTGAGGGAGGTTGCAAAGCCTTCGGGAGGGAACCTTACTGGGGGAAGTATGTCAACTGGGAGTGGTCCCTCAGGGTTTAGAGCCTCGCCCCCACTTCCTGTGCATGCTCTGCTTCATGCTTGCGTTCGAATTTCTGAGTTCTTAGTTCACTGCCCCTTGCTGCCATGCTTCTCTGCTCTCTAAAACCTTATCCCTCTAAAACCATAAGCCCGATAAACTCTTCCTCTAATAAGTAGCTTTTGATCATAGTGCTTTATCACAGCAACAGAAGAGTAGCTAATACAAGGGAAATACAACCCCACATCCCACAGAGCACACAACAGCAGCCAATAGGAAAGAGCTATCCCGTCCTAAGCATCTTCACAGTCATACCTCTGAGACTGCGGGGGCTGGGTTGGTTCCAGGACTCCTGAAGATGTCAAGGTGTCAGATCCCTTGTACAAAGCAAGGGGGTCAAGTCCCTCATATAAAATATGGGTTGTATTAGCAGAGGACCCAGGCACATTCTATTAAGTCCTGTAAATCAACCCCAGGAATATCAGAGCACAATGTGTGGTTCAGGCATCAAAAGCTTTGTCCCTGTGAGCACATCACCATGTCAGTTTGGAGCCTTTTCTGGACCACTAGTCACAAAACAATCTTTCAATAGATAAGATATTCAGTGTATTGTATATGACATGATTCCAATGGGTAGGGTGGGGCAAGGAAAATCATCTCTAAGTGATTTACAATAACACAAGGGAAATGCTGTGTAAGTAGTCGTCACACAGTATTATTTAGGGAATGATGACAAGGAAAAAATCTGCCTGTTTGAGAGAGAGAGAGAGAGAGAGAGAGAGAGAGAGAGAGGGCATGGAGTTGGATGGGTGGGGAGGTGCAGAGGGTCTGGGAGGACATGAAGGAGGGGGAAACACAATCAGAATATATTGTATAAATTTCCAAATTTCCAATTAAGGAAGGAAAGAAGGAAGGAAGGAAGGAAGGGAAGGAAGGAAAAGAAATGTAAGGAAAGCAGTAGAATAACACTTGGAGTACTTTCCAATACACTCACCTGTACATTTACATATTGAAATATTCCATTACTAATTTCTTTTCTTTATGTTACAGTTAGGCAACATGTTTGTTAATTTTTCTGTTGCTGTGATAAACTATCCTGGCATGAGCAACTTAAGGAGAGTTTTCTTTGGCTTCCAGTTCCAAGATGCAGTCCATCACTGCAGGGAGGCCAAGGTAGCAGGTGTCTGGAGCAACTGGTCACATCAGGAAGCAGAGAAAGACCAGTGCATCTTAGTACTCAGCTCCCTTTCTCCATTTTATACAGCACAGAATCTTCTGCCCAGGTAATGTGGGGATTTATCAGGGCAACTCCACGTAGTTAAAAAGGAAGTTTATTTTGGGGTAACTTATAGCCAGTAAAGGGGTTGGTTATAGGAACCGGGAGAGGTGAGATGCAGTCCAGCAGAGTTCTCTGGAGAACTCTGACTCAATCTGCCATCCAGCATCCAGGATCACCAGGAACCGAGAGGGCCAGCACATCAAGATCTCGGGTCTTAAGGGCTCCCATCTCAGGCCCGCCCCAGGGGCAGGTCATAGGTAGGCATGGCAGTTACCAGAAGCCTCACTAGGGGTAGTACTTCCAGGTCTAAGCTGGAACAGCTGCCCACTACACCCAGGGACTAGTCATGCCCACAATATGACCAGTCTTCCCATTTCAATTAACATAATCAAGACAATCTCCCACAGGTATGCCTAGAGGTCGGTCTCTCAGGTGATTATGGAGTCTGTCAAATTTAAAACACCAGTCATCACAGGCAACACATTGATTTTTAACTTATATGTGTTATTGTTGTTGCTCTTTGCTCTTTATTCTTTGGCTCTTTGGGGGACCCACCACTCAGCTTCCAAAGAAGTCACGCTTTTCTTTCTTTCTTTCTTTCTTTCTTTCTTTCTTTCTTATAAATGCCTGGCCTTAGCTTGGCTTGTTTCTAGCCAGCTTTTCTTAACTAATTATCCCATCTACTTTTTGCCTCTGGGCTTTTACCTTTCTCTATTTCTGTATATTTTTTCTTTCCTTCTTATTCCATGTCTGACTGTGTAGCTGGGTGGCTGGCCCCTTCTTTTTTTGCTCCTCCAACCTTCTCTCAGATTTCTCCTCCTATTTATTCTCTCTGCCTACCACCTCACCTACCCTTTCTCCTGCCTTGCTATTGGCCATTCAGCTCTTCATTAGACCAATCTGGTATTTTAGACAGGCAAAGTAACACAGCTTTACAGAGTTAAATATGAAAGGATGCAACATATCTGCATCATTAAACAAAGGTTCCATAGCATAAACAAATGTAACACATCTTAAAATAATACTCCACAATATATGTGTATGCAATTTTAGATCTTTTATTGACTTTTTAAATAGTCTATAGATCAATTTTCAAAATTATCCCACTCTTAATGGGATTAACTAAGAGTGGGACAAACTAAGCTGTTCTGAGGGCCATGTCTGGGTCTATGCGATCTTTGATGATGTTCCTGGCCTGTGTTAGCTCAAGGGGGGGGGGGCATTAGAATCATGCTGTGCTGAGCCCGCCCCACCCTTCACTGGCCCTGGGATAGCTGACCCTGCCCCTCACTGGAGCCTGCATCAGGAGAGCTTGTCTCACCTCTCAGGTGAGAACTGCCTCCCTAGCCCCCATCCCCTGCACTTGGGAAAGATGGCCCCACCCCTCACCACAGGCATGCACCTCACCTGGGCAGCACAAGGTGAGCCAGCCCTGGGGACATGAGAGCAGGAGAGCTGATCTCCCTACTTATATTACCCCTATAGTAATCAGGAGAGAGGGCCCTGCACCTCACCTGGGCAAATAGTAGAGCCGGCCCTGGTTGTGCGAGTGTGAATGAGCCAGTTCTGAGGACCTGAGATCAGGAGAACTGGCCCTGCTACTTGCAAGTAAAGATGAATGGACTAAAGGGCAAATTGTGTGGCACAATGGGCCACACTGCAGCTTCCACAATGAGATTCTTCTTCTTCCTATTTTTTGTTTTGTTTTGTTTGTTTGTTTGGTTTGGTGTTTGGTTTTTCTTTTAAATTTTGTTTTGTTTTGGGAGAGAGGTTGCAAGGGCAGAGGGGAGACAAGAGGAGACAGGGAGATAAGTGGGATCAGAATGTATTATGTGAAATCCACAAAGAATCAATAAAAGTTAAAAGAATTAAGCTGTGTAAGATCCAGTGAGGAGGAAGAGCTACCAGGCAGCAGGTCGGAGCTGGTCCCCTAGTGACTCTTCAAGCTGAGGAGAGAGTGGGCCAATGAACATACCTCACTGAATTTCACTGCTTATGCTCAACACTGGGGCAGGGCCATCGAAAGGGCAGTGTGCTATGTGATGTGGTGTCTTCCCTATGCCAGAGTCCTCCTGGAGCCAGAAATCCCTAGCCTTTCATGAGGTCTTTTTCAGCACATACTTCATGGGCTTTATGGTCAGCAACACATATTCCTGACTAACATGGATGCACAACTCAATTGCAGGAAACTTTTGGCTCATCTTAATGACATTTTTTCATCTGAACCTTGTTATGTTTTATTGAGCATCCCATCCCAAATTTATATGCTAGATCCCTTATGCTACGATTTGAATATGTCCCTCCAAACTTGTTCTGGAACCTAGTCCTCAAAGTCCAATGTTGATGGCATTTGGGACTGAGGCCTTCGAAAAGCAATTAGGATCAGATGAGGTCAAGAGGGTAGAGCCCTGTGATGACATTAATGGCTCTATATAAAGAGGAAAAGAGACTAGCCAGCACCTCGCCATGTCTCATCATAAGATGCCCCTGCTTCATTATGATATACCCTGAGGAGGTCTTCAACAGGGACCAGAAACGTGCCCTTGAACTTCTCATCAAGAATCATGAGCCAGGGTGTTGGGAATGTAGCTCAGTGGTAGAGGCTTGCCTAGCAGGCACAAGGCCCTGGGTTTAGTCCTCAGCTCCAGAAACAAAAACAAAAACAAAAAAGAATCATAAGCCAAGAAAGTATTTATCATTCATAAATATCCAGCTTATGGTATTCATTTATAGTCAAAGAAAATAATTTACTAAGATACTCTACGTGTGACTTTATTCAGAAATAAGATGATGAAGACAGAGACGGCAGTGATGCTGCCAAACAAGAATGCCAAACACTGTCAGCAAACCAGTAGGAGCTCTGCAGGATGCATAGAACAGGTTTTCTCTTGTGATCTTTATGAGGAATTACACAATGCTCTGATGTTACTTTAGTCCATGATGTTAGGGAACCAGCTCTGCCAACATGTTGCTTTTGGAAATCCAACCTGCAGAAACAGGAGACAGTAGATGTCTGTTGTTCCAAACACCCAGTTTGTGGGACTAAGAATAATGCAGATTTTTTTTTTGTGTGTGTACACATATGTGCAAGAAAGCACTCTCCTCCAAGTGTGCACATGGGAAAGCCAAACATCGATGCCAGATGTCTTCCTCCATTGCTTTTCACATTGGTTTTGTTTGTTAGTTTGTTTTGTTGTTTGAGACAAGGTCTCTCACTGAAACTGGAGCTCACTGATTGGGTAGGCTGGCTGGCCAACCAACCCTGGGGATCCTTCTGTCTCACCTCACCCCCAGCATTGGGATTATAAGCAAACACCCAGCTTCTTACATGCATGGTAGAGGTCCAAATTCAGGTCTTTGTGCTTCCATAGTAAGCACTTTGTCCACTTAGCCATTTCCCCATTCCCCCAATACAGGCTTCTAATCTTTAATTATTGAATCCATCAAATCCTAAGAGGAGGGATTCAAAAACTACTTAGCAGAACTAATGGATGAAGAAGCCAAAAACGAGGCAATCTCAGAAGATACTCGCTCTACCAGAAAGAATTAAAATCCAAAAAAATCCACGTTATCTAACCCATCTAAAACCAGACATTGGATTGGTGATAGGGCCAGGTCTAGAACCTCTCTGAGGGCGAGTCCCACCCAACATCACTTCTGAAATGACAGCTGAGCTCTGCAGTCAATATGGACAGAAAATGCCCTTTGAGACTTGTAACTGTCGTCATCAAAGCCTGCTTGTTTAGCTATTTCCCTTGTGGACAGAGGTGGTGGGGGTAACAAAATACACAAGAGAGCCAGAAGACTCTCCAGGTCCCTCCCCAATGAGCAGTAACTCCCTATGAGCAGCAACAATTGCCGGTGGGAGGGTGTCTTTAGTGGAACTGCCTGCAAGTTGTGCAGGGAACTCTAGTGATCACCATGCTAAGCGGACTTTGTGGTGATACAGCTGCTTTTGAGTCACCCACACTCCTGAAAGGAACCCCAATGAAGTTCTTGGTTCACTGAGCTAGACTTGAGTAAAACCAACACCATCAAAATCCCCCAAAATCTCTAAACTCATAACATTTCCATTTTCCCCAGGCCCACTGAGTGATGCTCCTTGAGATGAGTCAGAATCTACATGTTTTAGAAGTTGAGCTCACACAAGAACTCTTTCACAACATGGTAGCTGTCTGTGGCTACACGTGAAAATACAAGCTTGAGCTGTGGGGTAGACAGATCTTTCTGAGTGCTCCCTCTTTGTGTCCCAACCCTTTTCTGCACTCCCTCCAAGCCTCACCCACAGACTGATTGGTTGTAGTGTTGCTTGCTGTCTGTCTGTCACCTTGGCTTACATGTGGCCAGTATTGAGCACCAACATGCTCAGGGAATCTTAACATTAAACATAAATGCTCACTGAAGTCCGGTGTCCTGCTTGATGATCCTCAAGATTCAGAATGACTCTGGTTCATCACTATCACAGTTTGTTCAAAGAGGAAAGGGTAGCAATTGTCCTCCAATGTAATTTCTAGGGAGTGACAAAAGAATTTAGGGACATGAAGTTCCACACATTCTTTCAAGGCTGGCAAAGGCATCTCATAGGGACTTCCAAGGGTGCCCACAGGGCAGATCCTGTAGGCTGCACCTTTTTAATTCCCCCAAAGGAAAGAGTGGCGGCTCTGTAATGAGCGCCTCAGCCATGTGTGGAGGCTGTATTAATCACAGCAGATGCTCGGCGGCGGCTTCTACATTGTCTTCACTTCTCTTATTGAATGTGATTCAGAGGATTAGGTCAGGCAAGATGAAAAAGGGAGCCAGGGAAGGACAGGGAGGACTCGATTAATGGTTACCGCTGAGTTATTTTTCTCTTAAATATCTTCTCCTTTACATTCATCACAACATCCTGACCTGATAGGAAATTTCTACCTCCCCTATTAGTGAAATGTGTTCTGTGCAGGCTTAAGGTAGATTGTGTAACTTGTGAGGATAATGTGAGGGAAAAATGAGGATGCTGTCAGGGGT